ACCTGCCGGTTGGAGCTCCAGAGGTGGAAGTGAAAGTAAATGGAAAGCCGTTCCGGGCCATCCTGGACTCGGGCAGTGCGGTCACTCTGGTCCAGTCGCAGATTCTCACCCTCGAACGGAATATAAAGCCTCCCTCATCATAACCTGTGTCCACGGGGATACACAACAAGTTTCCCGCTCGCAGGGTGACCATTTTGGCCGTTCCCGGCACCTGGCCGGTAGAAGTTGGGGTCATGAAGGATCTTCCCGTCCCCGTGCTGATCGGGAGAGACTGGCCAGGGTCTGTGCCTGTCTCTGATCCTCAAACCGAGAAGGGCCAGGACCCCTGGGTTGTTCGGGCTCAGACCTGGACCTCCTTTATCCAGGTCTTTCAGCAGGTCAGCCTGATATGCTTGGAGCATCACCATCATGTGCAATGAAGCGACAGCCCGACCTGCTGCTGCTGCGTATGCCCTGGCATTACAGCGAGATGTCAAGGAGGGGAGTCTTAGAGGACGTCTCACCCATAGAGAGATAGCTGGCCAGCGTCTCTCAATAGGGGCATCTTCTCATAACCGCTTGCGCGCATCACCTCGATGTTGGCATAACTTGTATGCTGGAGTCGATAGATGCGTGAGGAAAAAACGGCCTCTTCCATTCCTTCTCAATCTCTCTATGGAAAACAGGAAGAAAGGAAGGCTCACCTGAGCTGGAGGGCTATGGCCAGAAAAAAAAAAAACGTTCATCAAGATGACCTCGCGACATCACTTTCTTTGTCCGCTTCACGGCAAGTAAAGCCTCGCCGTGGTGCGATCCGTAACTTCCAAAAGCTAATCATACGCAGGGCAGGAGGATTGGGAAGGCTCAGCTTCAGCTTCTTTGCCCTCCTCAGACATTTCCTGCTTTTGCTGGGCCGAACCCAGCAGAGCACTGGCCCCTGGATCAGACAATGTTAATGAAATAATATCATCCTCCAGCAGCTCCCTCTCATCCACAGCCGACGATCGCGCGAGGGAAAACCCCTCTACAAACTCATTGGCCAGATCCACCTGCGATCCCCACGAGCTCATTCTCCTCTGTGCCTCAGCAGCAGCGAGTTCTGAGTCACGGGAAGCAGATGGCTGCCCCTCTTTCCTCGAAAAGAGAGACAAACGAGAGCGGAGGTTTTTCATTGGAAAAACGCTCGCAGTGAACGCCGATTGCCCCCTCGGAGACATCACGTGCGTGCTCTTTGCCCAAACAAATAACGCATAGATCGTGTGTGTCGTCAGATGTTAAACAACGACAACACGGATGCACACATCCTCTAAACGCTTTGCTAGTGCTCTCCATAATGATATGAATAGAGATTGCTCTTACCACAGAAATGCACGCTTCAAACAAAACAGTCAATGAAGACGCAGAAGAGGATGATGTGTTCTCCCTGTGCCTATTTATACTATAGTCGCACCGGTAGTGACGTCATGGCTGTCGCCGGCCAACGTGTTGTTGGTGTTTTTTCAATGTATGCTTCAGACACGGGTCACGACGAGGAGTTCCCCATAGCGAACCCTAGAGGATGCAGTTCGAAGTTCCCATGAAGGCAAACTGGGTTGTTAATGACTGTCTTCCAGGTGAGAGACATCTTTTATTATTATTATTATTATTATTTATTTGTGGCAAACACTACAAATATAAGGAAAAATTTGCAATCCAGTTAGATAAAATCATATATATCTGGATTATGATGATGATTATAATAATAATACAAAACCCTCAAAAGATAATTAATAAAAAATGTTAAAATAAAACAAAAAACATTTACTTGTTGATACCCTCATGTAAGCTAACTTTCAGTCCTTCAGGAAATAATGGCTATATTTTATTGCCATTCGTGTATTTAACCAATCAATAATTAATTACTCTGCCTATATTATGTTCTTAAACTTTCAGCTGGACATGAGTTCCACTCAAACTTACTGAACTCCAGAAATGTTATGGACCAAACTAAAAGACAGAAGTAGGCATAGGTGAATTCCCGGAGGCCCGAGTGTGCTGTGTTCATTTAATAACTGTTCCCATATCACCTTCCCATGCCTTTATCATCACAGACTACAACTGATCTCTGATCAGCTTCTAAAATATTTTATAAAAAGCTAATTTATAGAAAGACCAATCAGCTATGGCATGTTGAAAAGACTTTAAAGGAATTGTCATGGAGCTTATCTGGTGCATGGAGGACATTATTATTCTTCCCCTGAGCTGAGCAAGTAACACACAGTGTGGGGCCTGGACCCTTGAAGTGAGGTCTTGCTGTCCCCTGAGCATAAAGAAAGAAGCAATGGGGTTTACACAGAGACCCCTACAGAGACGTCTGATTGGGATATTTCTAAAGGTTCACATCCACAATGTAATATCTTAATGGGGAAAGTGGAAGAATTCTATGTGTGTGAAAGGAGTTAAATTTCAAAACATAAAAACATGTAAGTATATATATTGCCATCAATGCATGTGTGCAGAGGCTAGACTGAAACTAGAGTTTGTGACATAAAATCAGAGTAAATTAATTGCTTGGTCATTAATTAAATGGAAATCGGTTAGCAAGCTCTTTAATTGTGTGTATGTGTGTTTATCTGCTAGTCCCCATCAGTCCCAGACTGAAAGATGACCTTGCAGGACAACATAAACAGGCACAGCTCTGGACAAACAGTATCACAATTGGATTAAATGTTTGTCTGGACAGTCGCAGCCATACAAACCCTCATAAATTAGCATGTATTTCTGAGTTAAAATTGTTGGACTACCAGATAATGTATTAGGTCAGTGATAGGTCAGTGACAACACAGTGCAGCAAATGTTAATGAGGATACCAATTCACAGAGTTCAAAAATATAAATGAGAATAAAAATAGGAATATATGCATATTGGTCTTCCAAAATAGAGCTCCAAGAATCTGGCTTTCATACAAGTTAAGCTCAGTTCACAGCACTTGTGGCATAATGTTGACTACAACAAATAATACATTTTTATACCAAAAAATTAATTTCCATTTTTCCTTTTTTTTTCTTAAAAAAACATAAAAGGTTACAGTGAGGTATTTACAATGAAAGCCACAATGTATACTACTGTATATGCATGTTACCATGGTTTTAGTGTGAAAAAATGACTTATTGGCCTTTTATTGTGTATAGTTATTTCCTTTTTTTTTCATTTTTGTTGCCATGACACACAATGCATAAAACTCTAAAGTTACCGTAGAAATGACAAGAACAGTTTTACAGCTTAATTAATATACCAATTTTGGTAGAAGAATGAATTTAAGTGAATTTTAATTGAACCCAGAATATTCTATAATTTTATAAAGCAGAGAGTACTTTGTGACCAAAAGCTGTCCAAGATGGGTTTTGCAGGCACACGCCAACTCAGCATGCACCAGGTCAAATCAAACTGACTTATAGTATGAACAGGGAAAGAAATGTGCAAAACTAATGCATATAATATTGGAATATCAGCAGCTGTGGAAAGAAAAGAGCAAAACAGGAAATCATCAAAACACAAATGAATGTGTCCACAAACTGATGCACCCAATATAAGACTTTTTCATGCACAGATATGGCCACACATTTTCAGAGCCAAATCTTTTTCCATTTCCATCAGTATGTGTGTGTATTCCAATACATTGGCCACCTCTACCCCTCCCCCAGCCCTTACCTCTCACCTCCAATAAGTCCTCACCTTCCTCTGCCTCATTACTCCAGCACTCCTCATTGACTGGCCGAGGAAGCATGTTGAGTCATCAAAAGCAGAACTGCAGCTCATTAAGCAGTCCTGCCATTCACCCCCGGTCATCTCCACCTGTGTAATAACAGTATTAATCAGTCCTTCACCTCAGGCAACTGGACCAGCAGGACACAGGTGATGTGATACCATCTCTAGTGATATCTGTTCACTATCTCTGGTTCACATCTTCAAATAGCCTATATGGTTTGTGGCCCCTGAGTAGAAAGACATGTCAGATGACTTCTAGCTCTGTGCTGGTGCTTGGTGAGGGGGATAGTGTGGGTGTTACATGCATGTTTTCCATCCCCCATCCTTGACAAGAAAATGAATCACTGAGAATGTCAAGAGGAGATTCTATGTCATGTTAGTTACCTGCAAACAAAGAACATGTAAATATTTGATAATAATATTCAGAATTATTTGTAAAGATATAATTGTAACTTTGTAACTAAAGGAAAAAAAACACTATTATGGAATATTCTCATTGAGAATTATATTATAGAATATTTTGCCTCATGATGGCTTCAGCAAATGGCAGAAGTAGAAGTCTTGATTTGGTGGATTTTTACAACTGGAAATAAGACCGGAATTGTATTTTAGATTTTTTTAAAAAGAGAAGAAAAAAAAAAACTATTTCTGCCAACAAAACCCAAACAAATCCACAGCAGAATGAACCATTATATGTTTCCAAGCAATACACAGTGGTAGTATTTCATTCATGAATCAATCAGTGTTTTCAAAGAATCAGCTGAATGACTGATTCAATGACTCCTTCATAAAGACAGTGGCTGCATCTAAATATGCATGCTTCCCTATATAACAGGTGAAAAACATGTGAAAAGAGTAGTATGTTTGAATTGATAGTATTCATAAAACAGTCCGAGCTGTTTATGGCTAAACTGAACCGGTTTCATAATTAAAGATCTTTACAAAGTTTTTGAACTGAACTGAAATAACACAAACCTGACTGAATAGTCTTTGTAGAGCTGCTTTACAGCAGAATTTGTCTCATATTTGATTAAGTTAGAATTACTGATTTAGTTATTTTCCTGTTTATTATTGTAAAGATGTTTTGAAAAAAAATCGGCATTGTATAAAGAGCTATATAAATAAAGGTGAAGTGACCTGACTTGAATGTAGTACATCTGGAGTACCTTCATCCACCACATACTAAATAAAACATACTTTTAAGGTTGTGTGTAATGAGGACGCTGAGGCGGAATCTGAATCCATGTGCGGGAGTTTATTGAGGACAGTTTCAGTAAACAGGAACGTCAGGGCAGGCAGAAGGTCAAAACCAGAATAACAGTCCAATTTAACAACACTTACAGGGGCAATCCAGAAGGCTAAAGTGAGCAGGCAGGCAAAAGGTCCAAACACATACATCTGATCAGGCAAACTAAGCAAGGGGGATAATCCAGGTAATCGTTAGGTAGGTAAACAGGCAGAATCATACACTGAACAGGCAATCAGGATATAAAGAGAAAACGCTTGGTAAGGCAGGTTAACTGGCAATACTTCGCAATGAGCATGAGCACAGTCTCTGGCTATAAAGCAACCAAACAGGAAATGAGTGTAGAGGAAGCAGAGGGAGTGGAACACAGTCAGTACTCTGGTGAGGGCTTCCTCTGCTGGCTTGGCATTACAGAACCCCCACCTCTAGGAGCGCCTCCTGGAGCTCAACGTGGACGTCCCCGTGGTTGTGGTGCTGGACGATTGGGGCTGGCTCGATGAAATTCCTCGTTGAGAGCCACACCCGCTGTCCTGGTTGGTAGGGAGGATGTGGGCGACGTCGCCTGTTGGCCTGTAATTATTGTCTTCTCACGGCTCGCTGGAGGCGGACATGTGCACAGTCCCACACCCTCTCACTATGACGAATCCATTCGTCAACCGCCGGGACTGAGGAAGGTTCCCCGGACCATGGGAACAAGGGAGGTTGAAACCCAAGGACGCACTGGAAGGGGGTTAGGCCTGTGGATGTGTGAGTGAGAGAGTTTTGGGCATATTCCACCCAGGGTAGGAACCAATGATGTTGCTCTCGACTGCAGTAGGTCCGTAAGTATCAGCCGATCTCCTGGTTTAATCGCTCAACTTGGCCGTTCGATTGAGTTTGATAACCTGAAGTTAGGCTAATGTTGATATCCAGATGCTTGCAGAAAGCCTTCCAAACTTGGGAAGTGAATTGGGAGCCCCGATCACTGACTATATCCTCTGGAAGGCCATATACACGGAAGACATGGTGGAACAGTGCTTGAGCGGACTCCATAGCAGTGGGTAGTCCCTTCAATGGTACTAGGTGACAAGACTTGGAGAAACGGTCGATAATGACGAGAATGGCAGAGTAACCATTAGAAGGAGGCAGATCAGTTACAAAGTCAATGGAGAGATAGGACCAAGGACGTTGTGGGATTGGTAGTGATTTGAGGAGGCCAGATGGTAGTTCCTTAGGGGTTTTGGACTGGGCACAGACTTGACATGACTTCACATATGTAGTAACGTCTCTGGTCATAGAAGACCACCGGAATGAATTTTGGATCAGACGAAGAGTGCGAGATATCCCTGGGTGGCCCGTACCTATGGAGGTGTGGACCCACTGCATGATTCGTTGTCGTAGGTTGTGAGGTACATACTGCTTGTGTGGGGGGAAGCTATTAGGTGTTGGGTCGAGTTGTTGTTCTCGCTATAATTCCTCCATGATGTCCCAGGTAACTGGAGCAATGATGACGGAAGGAGGAAGAATGGGTTCTGGTGTGAGACTTTCAGTAGGGGGATCATAGCATCTGGACAATGCATCTGCCTTGCTGTTCTTACTGCCCAGTCTGTATGTGACTGTAAATTGGAAACGGGTGAAAAACAAAGACCATTGAGCTTGGCATGGGTTGAGACGTTTGGCACTTTTTATATATTCAAGATTCTTATGATCAGTAATGACTTGAAAAGGATGAACTGCTCCTTCTAGCCAGTGTCTCCATTCCTCAATGGCTGCTTTCATGGAGAGAAGTTCCTTGTTTCCCACGTCATAATTACGTTCAGCTGCTGTTAGCTTTCGTGAGAAAAATGCACATGGAAACAGCCTGCCTGGTTGGCCATGACGTTGGGAGAGTACGGCTCCGATTCCACAATCTGAGGCATCTACCTCGACCACGAATGGAAGATTGGGGTCAGGATGTTTCAAGATGGGTGCTGTGCTGAATCTTTCCTTCAGGGTATTAAAAGCAATGTTAGCCTCTTCTGTCCATCTTACTTCACAATGAGCATGAGCACAGTCTCTGGCTATAAAGCATCCAAACAGGAAATGAGTGTAGAGGAAGCAGAGGGAGTGGAACACAGTCAGTACTCGGGTGAGGGCTCCCTCTGCTGGCTTGACATTGCATTGTGAAGTCATTACTTATTCAACAAATTTGAACACAGTCCTTGAATTGTTTTGAAGACCTGAGAACAGTTGTATTATTGAGAATACAATAAGTATTCCATTTACTCCATAATTTTTATGACATGAATTGATAACTGTGACTTTGTTTCAGCAAATCAAATCACATATGCTTTACCAAGTAATCAAAATAGTCTTAAAAAAGACAACCTTGGATTATCTACTCCCACACACAAACACAGAAATGTCAAACCATTCTGTGCCAACACAACTTCATCACCTCTAATGTTGGTTTATATAATTAATGTACTACAGTATGTTCTTGTCCTGCGAAGACTTTGTTTGATTTAATAAGCACCTTATGAAAGAGCCATTTGCTCAATTATAAAGATGAGCTTTCCATTAAAACTAATTAGCCTACTCAGACAGGTAGACACATTCACACCTAAAAAAGCACACACTGGAACACTCATTTCTACTGTGTGTTCTCATATAAAGACCTTGCTTTTACTTATTAAACATAGTGCACATGCCTTTTCCTTCTCTTCAGTCACCGTACATGCTGCCCACTGACGCACGTTTCTGAATTTCAACCCCATTTACAATTTGGACAGAAAAAAAGGAAGGCTGAATAAGAAATCTGAGACAATGAAAGTAAGGTGGTAATGGAGTGAAATAGAGGACACATAATGAGAGAGATAGAGTAAAGTTTGAGACAGAGAAAACTGAGGGTAGTGAAATTAGATTTGACCTATTTTCCTGATCGAGTCTGAAATGTACAGAAGTGTAAACTAGATGATTAAATGAAAATAAATGGCAAGACCCATTGAGACAGCATTAATAATTAGGACTCAGTGTAATAAAACCGTAAACTGCCTACATTTCTAAAAACTGAGACATTTTGTTCTTTATACCACAATTTGCAATACAGAAATCCACAGTAGGGTGTGTGATAAGGGGATTGTGGTAATCTCACGCCTCGACTGCCACACAAAATATCAAATCATCCACCAACAAATCACTGTGTGATTATTACCGAGCAAACATCAGGGTCTTACAGGTCTCTCAGGAGCTAATAAACATGTCCTCACTAAATAAGGTGGAATATTCATGACTAATCTGCATACCGTAAAAGAAGGAAGGGTGACCTACAATAATTAGGGGAGGGTGGGAACTTTGTGTAGAGGTGTTTATGTCAGATTGTGGAAGGACTGAAAGTTAGAGGATTAAAAATTTGCACATGAACTTTGAGTAAATTTGAGTGTCTAGTTTTAGCCATAAACCAGGTCTCCTTATAAGGCGTGATGCATATGTATAAGCAGGCGGTATGCATAGATTAAAGGGGTCATATGATGCGATTCCAATTTTTCCTTTCTCTTTGAAGTGTTACAAGCTCTTGGTGCATAAAGAAGATGTGTAAAGTTGCAAAGACTAAAGTCTCAAATCCAAAGAGATATTCTTTATAAAAGTTAAGAGTCAACCACGCCTACCTAACCCGGCTCGTTCTAACACGCCCCCACATGTCTACGTCACGATGTGGGAAGATTTGCATAACGCCACCCAAATGTTCACGCAAAGAAAGAAGGTATACTTTTATTCTCGCTCTAGTATTGTTGCCGCCGCCGCCATGCTGTGGAGACGCTGTGTTTCGTTGTGAAAGCGAAACTACTTTGTTTGGCCTTCCAAAAGAGGACGATATCCGATTCGTCATACAGGAAATACATCAACTTCGCACTGTGGATCGCCGGATCGGCTTTCACCGTGGAGTCCAGCCCGGGATCGTCACATGTGGTGATGCCGCTCCTTCATCGAATCCGCCGGCCGCGCCGTTCTCAAGCTCACCGGCCTCCTCTCACACTAGGCCGCCGCTGCGTGTGACACTGTGTTTCGTTGTGAAAGCGAGACTACTTTGTTTGGCCTTCCAAAAGAGGACACGACTAGAAATCAGTGGTTAAGTTGTATTTACAATACTGTTCCAGAACACTTCAACCCAAATATTCAGATGTGTGCAGCACATTTTATGGAGGACTGTTTCCTGATCCTGGTAGAGTAGACTACAATGCCGGCTGTTCTGACTCACAGACTGTGAGTAAGTTTTTTATATTTAAAGAATTTGCCACTGATGATTCAAACGTGAGTTTTGGGCAGTGTAGAGTTGCGCTTGTTGTTTGTCATTTCTCTGATCACAAATGCAGATATGGTTTTATATTAAGCTCCGGCCTGACAGGGCATCACAGTAGGGTAAGGGGCATAACATTTCCATCACATGCTTGAGGTATTCGGCCAATGACAGCGCACTGGATAGCTGGCCAATCAGAGCACACCTCGCTTTTCAGACCGATGAGCTTTGTAAAACTCGACGCGTTTCAGAAAGGCAGGGCATAGAGGAGAAACAATAATGTACAGTATGTGGAAAATAATGTGTTTTTTTAACCTTAAACCGCATAAACACATTTCATTACACCAAATACACAAAATAACGTTATTTTTAGCAACATCATATGACCCCTTTAAGGAGCACATTTAAAGAAGACAAGATGTCAGCGAGTGGTTTCACCATACATACTCTTTACAATGAGTCATTAGTACTAATCCACCATGAAAGGCCTGATCTGGAAATTCAATGAAGGGCAGATATTATGCTTTCACTTTACACCCCTACTAATTAAGGAATGAATGTGCATGAGGTAGAACAGCTAGGAATGCCAAAGAAGAGGGTGGTTAGTTTACAGGAAATGTTGTTTACATTTTTAGTCACTATAGAGAGAATCAATGTCATGAGTACTGTAGTAAGGAAGGATGATATATTCCATATCTTGGATTACATTTAAATGTGGCAAGAGAAAGCCTGTTAACTAGAGCGCAAGCATGAAATACATAGGGGTTATAAATATACTGGTTTATGTATGATGTTATGCTGGTACTGTGCTAATGATGAATTCTGTACGGTGGACAGTTATAGAATATTATGCATCTGGGATCATGAGGGAACTATATTCCAAAAATAAGGGCCATGTAGGAATTATTCTGAAATTAGTATAAATGTCTACATAATGTGTATGTAACAGATCGGCCAGGCTCCACCACCACCCAATCACAACGATCCCTCTCACCCGAGTTCTGAGCACCTGCACCTGTCACCAATCAAGCCCCTCATTACCAGCCTGCATAAAGGCACACACCTCAGACGCCCTCACTGTCCGGTTTTGTATACACGTAGAGGACTCAATGACTTTGCTACTACTTCCATTTGAATACTTCCTGCATTACTTACCTCCTGTGTTCCT